GAATTATAAAAATTACAATTACTCATATCTAGATTAAATGCAGATAAAAATAGATGTCCACCTTCTGCTTTTTCATTTATTAAAGGAAATGATGATTTTGTTTCAGGATCAAAATTACTATTTCTCATTGTGATATTTGATATGATCTAAGTACCTACTTCTAAATAAAGAACTGCTCCATAACCTGAAACAGAATTTTATATCCAAAGACTATCTTATAAAATTAAAGTTCCTACTACACTTCTAATCAAGAATGTTGGATTACTTGGTCTTAATGATCCTTATATTTCCATTAAATGAGTGTTTTTGAAGTAATACATATAATTAATCTATACAATTTAGGTTTAAGTAGAATCTATCAATATAGCAGATGAAGGAACTGCCAATACAGTAGTAACTATTGTACATTATGTTACATATACTCCATTAATAATGATTGTTTCTTAATATTCAGAAGTTGAAGTATTATAAATTAGATTACTCCATGATGATATTCCAATAAATGAATTATCTCTTCCAATCAGATTTAATAATTATATATTAATTAATTCTACTCCTTTGTATGGATTGTTAATAAATAAACAATAATTATTTCTAATTGTTAATCCTTCTTTTTAATAACAATTAAGATTAACGAATTTTGTAGTCCATACTTATTCTACATAAAATATGGCTAAATCTGCATTTTCTATACTTTCAAAATCAGATACTTACAATCTATTACTTTTCTCAATTCTTATAGAAGCACTTGTTGCTGCTTCCCAAATAGTTTCATCAAATCCTATAGTATTTATTTATTTAATAACTAATCCTTTCATTGTAATATTTATTGGTATAAAATAATCATTTTAGATTTCTGTAATTAATATTAAACAAGCTGGAGTTAAACAAATTACTTAATCAAATTCTAAATTAATAAATTATAATTTCAATCCTGAAAATTCAGGGTCATTTATTCTAATAGTTTTTAATTCATATTGAGTTTACATTAATCTACCTTTAAATGTAAACTTAGTATTCTATATATAGACATCACTTAATTCAATTGTTGTTACATAAAATAAAGCAGTAGAATTTACTTTAGAATCATAAATTTACAAATTATTTACTTTTATCTATTACATTGTTGTAAAATCAACAATACCTCTTGAATTATTAAATTCCACATTTCTCATAGATAAAGAACTTATGATCACCATACCCATTGGTTCATCTTAAACCTCTGTACTTAGAAATGCACCATCATTAATAAAATAACAATCTTCAAATTATACACGACTTATTAAAACTTTACTATTCCACTCAGGAGGAGTTAAAAAATTAAGTGATTATAGTTCAAAAAGTGCTTACTTTTCAACAGCAATATCATAAAATTTAACATTTTCTAATTTAATATTTAAATAAGGCACTATTATGTTAGAATCATATACTAAACCAAATAGTTTTGCTTAAAATGTAATATCAGAACTTATTAAATAGTTTTAAGAATGAATTACAACATTTTTTAAATAGATTTCATATGTATTCAAAAGTATTGTAAAGAATGGTTTTTACTTCTTTAATGTGACTGCAATTTAACTATATGGTGTAGTATAAGAAGATTTATCTTTATAATGATCTTCAGCATTTATATTTCCAATTTTAACATTCTCTAAATAGAGCTTAGATCCAGTATTATTAAGAAATTAGAATCCAAATGGTGTTTCATATTTAGGTATGTTTGTGTATAAATTACCTCTATCAGATGCTGGAAATAGATCTATTCCATTAATAGAGACAGATGTAAAATAAACAAAAAAGATTGTCTTTTAAATGAACCATTAGATTCTTTCATTAGGAGTTGGAGAATTGGTTTTTATTTTAAGTTCTAATTCTTAAACAGAAAAGACATTCTTTCTAATATTTGATGTAAAATAAGTATCTTTTTGAAAGAAACATTTTGAATTATCTCCAGAGAAATATTAGAAATCTAAAATAACAGTAATTTTAGTAACTGCTTTTTTATTCCATTCATCAAATAAAGCATTTTTAATTGCAGGAGCCATTTTATCTTCAAGAATAAGAAATGTATTCTTGGATGTAATATCACTAAATTATGAATTCATTTTCCATTCATCATTAGCATTTGGTTAATTTTATTAACAATCAGCTAAAATAGTTATTTCATCAGATCGATCACAAGGTGTTGGACAATCAGTATTAGAAATGCATCTACCAATTTTACTATCATAATAATTATTTCCACCATCCTCACATTTAAATGATAATCTTGCATATTTTTTATATTTATCATCAGTAGGATTATAAAATTGATTTAATAATGTAATTTCTTAAGAAGAACGTTCTCTACAACCAATAGTAATTTCTGGACATTAAATACAATCAGAATCATCAATAGATGAACTAAGTGATATTCCAACTAAACTAGAATCACATTAATCACAATATCCTTTTGTACCTCTAGCTAAAAATTAAGCACAATTATCTCCACCCTTTTCACAATATCTAAGATCTTCATTTAAAATAGGTCCTTTAAATGCATCTCCTGGAGTACATTCATAACAATAAGGACCTAAAATCTTTTTTTCAGAAATTGTATTAGCTTCTCCATCAAAAATATAATCAAAATATTCTGTATGATGAACAGAAATTAAAGATAATGTATAACATTTTTTACAATGTCCATTTTCTGCACATTATGCACATTTTCCTGTTTACATATCTACATAAAAACCATCTAAACATCTTAAACAACGTTATTTTAATCCATTTATTACACATGATTAACATAAATAATCTTACATTAATGATGAACAATCCAATCTACATTCCCAATTACCTGAACTATCATTCTTATAAAGAGTATATCCAATATCACATTATAAACATTACTATATCAAAATAGTTTATTTATAATAAGTTAAACAACCTACTTTAGGTTAATTTAATGCATCAAATATTGTACATAATTTTTAATCATCAGATAAGAAATATCCATCTTCACAAAGTAAACATTTTTCCAAAGATTACTCTATTATTTATTTATTTAATAATACCTTCTTTATTTAAAGGTTGAAAATCTAAAGCAATTGTTGAAAAAGAATAATCGCTACCAAGAGTTGGATCCCCAACTTTAGCACATAATTTACAATTTGCTATTGAACAATCTGTACATCCAGTTCCAACAGCAAAGAAAGTTTATGCAAATTTATCACATTCTCTACATCTAAGTACATATTGAGATTCAACAGCCTCAATTTCTGCTGTTGTTGGTTCTGATGTCTCAGGTTCAACTACTTTATATTTATCTCTTGTTGGCCTGAATTTTTTATAATATAATATACAATAATGATCCAGACTTATATTCGCATCTCTTGCAATTAGTACCACATCTTACACAACTTCTTCTACTCAAAGATGGAACAAACGTACTCTAAGTAGTACTGGTACATTATTCACACCGTTATGCTATACGATATTCTTTAAATAAATCTTCAAAAAATTTGATTTCATTTGCCTCATAATTTCTTGTAAGAAGAAGTGCATTATTATTATAATCATCCCATGGTTTTTCATTAAGATTTATTCCATCCTTTCCAAAATGACAAGCATCACAACCTGTAAAACATGCTATACATTAACTATATGTTTCTATTTCATTTATTTCAGTTCGCGTTGTCAGTAAACTAAATCCTTCATTACAAATCAAACAATTCTTCTTTATTATTACTACTGTCTTTCCTGAATCATCTATAGAAATTTATTTATTTATTTAGCAAGACTTGCAATTTTCAGGACAAGGATCACATCCTCCTACTACATCACTATATTCATATCCATCTGTACAACTGATGTACAGATTATTCAAATCATAAGAAAATTATTTTGAAACTGGAAGACAAGTTGAATTTTGAGATTTACAGAAATGCTCACATCCATCACAACTTTATGTTGTAAACTAAAGAATTAGCTTATTTTATATACATCCTATAATCCACTTTTTACTACATAAAATAATTGTTTTGCAGGTCTTTCTATTTTATGAAACACAGATGTTCCAGTTGATTTAGTCTTGTAATCATATGTACATAGTCTAGATTTATCCCTTACATATTCATAATACTTACCAAATCTAACTATTGTCTAAACAATCTCCGCAATAATAATTGTTGGCTTCATTAAATTTTAAATATGGGCTATAATAAGTTCAATTTAAATTACCATTCTACACATATTCTTGTTCCTGCTTTCAATCCTAATTCATTGTGATCTTGTGGTAATGAAAACAAAAAATATTACTATTCACAAAGTTCACAATTTCCCTTTACTACATTCAAACAATAGTTAAATTTTGTATCAGTCTCATAATTTGTTGTACTTATTTCTAAACTAAAATCAAATAAGAATCCTAATAGAGCTATAACAATTATATTCATATTTAATTATCATATTCTAAAATCATAAAAGAAATTTAAATACGTTTTTTATATACTAACATCCTAATAGTAAAGTATCACTTATTTGACATCAAATTTATTAGTGAAACTTAAGATCTAATCAAAATTTGAATAAGTCTGAACATTAATAATCAAAAAATTAACTAACAAACATTAAATTTTAAATCAAATAAATATTTTTACTTTGGTATTTTTCATACTCACACAAACTCTTAATTAATTTATTATACTTTAACAAATTTTTCAATCCAAAGAATTAGATTGGAACATTCTTAAATCTCAAATAAAATAAATAAAATTATTATAAAAACCTTTCATTTTAAACATTATTTTTCATCCTTACCAATAAATATTTAAAGATCACTTATTTTTAATATATTATAAAAATAACTTATTAAAATAGAATTATACAAATTTAAATATTTGTTTTATATTTTATCTTTATAAAAATTAAATAAAAAATTATTTCTATGACAAAATGGCTTGTTAAAATATTACTTGATAAAAAATTGATAAAAAATATCTAAATTAAAAAACAATTACTCATATTTTCCATTTTATTATTCTATCTTCTATTATAGAAATACTTCTACTAGTTAATAAATGCTCTGTAAATAAATAAATCAAAGTGGGTTCATAAAAAGACTCATATGCATTAATGACCAGTAATTCTAATTTCTTACCCATTCCTTCATTTGGAAATAATTTATTCATAACATCAAAACAAATAATTAAATCATCCTAAAATAAATAATTAGTGCTAGGATCTATATGAGAAAAATTCTATTTTAATTGTCTTTTCAAAAAGTCATTCTTCTCTATATTAGCTATCAAACATGCAAGTTTCAATTATTATAATGCACTAATCGAAGGTTTCTCTAATTCCTTTATTAATTCCTATAATTTAAATTATAACTTAACTCCTTATACATATGCTGGTATAGCAACATTTAGATTATCTTAAAATGTTACAAAATTTTTAGTAAATTCATTTAAATTTTTACAAATATAAGGATAAAACTAATTATAGGGAGACATAAAAGGTTTAATTTCTGTTATTACATTACCTTTATTAAAATAAATATTCTCAATTATCTAATTTACAAATTAACATTCTTCATCTTCTTAGTTTATCAATTCAATTGTTAAAGTAGGATAAATTCTTTTTAAAATAATAGCTAATTTAATAATACTAACCTTATCTTTAGAATCCTTAAAATTACTTGTCAATACATTTTATAATTTTTAATATGCTTTATATAAAACTCCAGGATGTAATTGATATTATTAAATCAACTTTGAAATTAATTTATGAGTATGATGAAAATCATAATTCATAATTTAATCCTTAACAATTCTAATTAATGATTCAAAAGTATCAATATTAAAATCTGATGCTCTCCAACCCATTAATAATTCATAAGCTTATTTACTATTAGGTATTTCATTAATTTCTTATAACTTTTTTAAAAGTTCTTATTTAATTTTTTTTGATTTATAATAGTTCATATCAAGACACTTTGAATTAGCTAATATAATATCATCAATTGTTTAAATTGATTTAGGGAGATTACCTTTTTAATTTAAATATACATCAATATAATTATTTTAACCTTTTAATTCATGTATTTTATCAAAATCCTTAAATTTATCTCTTAATTAATCACATGATGATAATAAATTAGAAATTTAAGATGGTGTAAATTTTGGTAAACATTATTTTATTTTATTTATAATTTCATCATCAAATGGTGCTAAGATATTATATATCTGTAACCATTTGGACAATTAATCAAAATCTACTTTTGCTGTAAATTCTGCTTCAATTTGAAATTTAATATATGGTGCAATATATTAAAAATCAAGACCAATTTCCTCATAAATTGATTTATTATTTTATAATTATTATACATGTTTATAAATGAATTCAATGACAGATTCATCATTACTATTATTAATAATAGCTCTAACTATTTATCTTATAAGATTATGAGGATATATTTGTAAATTATTAGGTTATAAATATTTTAGATAATCTATTTTAAATCTATTTATTAAATTAATTAACATTTCGCATGTTCTTTCATTTAACTAGAATTAATTACTTTAATTTAATAATCTAATAATGGCTCTAAGATGTTTCTCTTGAATTTGCATTGTATTTAGATATTTCTCACAAAATCCTTAAGGAATATTAAGTTTAAATAGATTAACAATAGAAAGTGATTCTAAAATCATAGATTTTTCAAGCCATTCTTCTAAAAATTTCTTCAATTCAATAAGTTCTTCACTCATAATATATTAAGGTATTTCATCAAAGATTGTTTCATTTTCAATACAAAGTTCTCTTAATGAAAAATATACAGAACGTATAATGTTTTCTAATGTTTTTTCATTGAAATTAGTTTCTTTGGACATTTATACAACTCTTTTTAGTAATTACATATAAATTTTGTAATCCTTGAAAGCTTGATTTTTTTAAGCTACTTAAATAAAATTCTTCAAAATTCTAAAATCAAATTAATAATTCCCTTCTTAATCTAGAACTCGTTCAACATAGACTTTTTATATTAAATCAAGAAACAATGGGGAAGGTTTAAATTTATTAAGTAATACAAAGAGTTGAGCAAGATAATAGAGATGCCATGAATTTATACCTTAGTAAATTTATGAGATAACATATTTTAATTAATGATCACTTAATTCTGATTACTAAAGAAATTGTAATAGGATTTCAGGATGACATGTAGCATGAGGATAGTTTGTTATTGATTAATCATATTAAGATAAGAATAATAAGGCATATGATTTTAAAGAATTATTATCACTATTTAAATACTCTCTTAATTAATCAATTTTATCAGATTTTAATTATGGTAATTTCTTCTTATTGATGCAATACTCCATAACTTAAATTAAAATTGTGTTAAATTAATGCTTTTATTTCTTGAATTCTTCATAAATCTCTTTATCATTGACTATCAATCCAGAATAAAATTGAATGAGTAGAATAAATTAATATTCATTATTAATTGGTTATGACTTTAACCAATCAATATACTCATTAAAATTGGGTTTTTAAAATTACATCTCTAAAAATTTAATCATGTTTTCAAATAATAAGTCATCTGTATTTTAAATTGATTCTATTTCTTATTTTAATCTATTATATATAGCAGAACTATCTGAAAATTTCATAGGCATTATTTAATCATAAATCTTTTCATTAAGAAATGCTTGCATTAATGAATTTAATTATGGTAATGATTGACATTATTCAAAGCTAGTTTATAAGGTGAATATGCGTTCTTTATATAGTTTATACTTCGATTTAAAAGAGCTGAATAGAAATTTTAATTTAAGCATTTTTATGACAATTATTAATTGAATATAATCATTTCTTTTGGGTAGCAGCAAATTGATCATAATATTTACGAAGATCTTTTTTTGAAAAGATGAAATCCTTCATTGCAATTTTAATAAACTTATCTGGATCAAAATTATTAAAGAATTTTTAATCTTTGAGAATTGTAATTACTTGTTCCATTGTTTTAGCCTAAAATATTTTATATATATTTATATATTACTGTCAAAATCTCTTCTTTCCTTATTTTAAGTATGGCTAAAGATGCTCTAAATGTTGTTTTATGATGTTCATACCAAAATATATCAGTTACCCTAAGAAAGATTTACATTGGAAGAATTGAACTAAAAAGAGTAATAAACCTATATATATATATTAATAAAATAATTACCATTCTGCAGCATAATAAAATGGTACAATATTTAATTTAGTAAATTTTGCATGTAAATCAGGTAAGAATTATTTAATTAATATGTCTAATGCATAAAAATATTTTAATGTATTTGTAGGATTAATATATGTATCAATGCAACCATATTTAGTAAGTAAACTATATAAATGCCAATAGACTAATTCATCATTCATCAATAATAAAAATGAAGCAGCCAAATAATTTAATCCTTAACAATATCCCATATCTTAAAAAGTAAGACTAATTGCTCTTAGTACTGTAAAGAGAGATTAACTTGTAATAGTATCCATCTTAATAAGATCATTACTTTAAAATGTACGCATAACATCTAATGTAATTTGACTATCATGAGGTGATATCTCTTGAGATTCTATTAGTTCTTTATAAGTTCTCTTTTAAATGTAAAATTCAATATTTACTTTTGCTTATATCTTCATTTAATCAATTTCAGCTAAACAAGGCCAAATTAATATTCTGATACCTTCAGGTATACCTTTTCTTAATCGAGATTTAAGTTTTGAATCATTATTGCTCATTAATTAAGGAATCTTAGGAATCATTTTTCTCCATTTTTCAATCCTTGCATTAATCTTTAGCATTTCTTCTTTACTTGGTGTTTGTATATTTTATTTAGGAAATCCATAATGATCTCTATTTTCTGGATTCATTAATAATAATAATATAAATAATCAATTTCTATTCTAATAATTAAATATTTCAAAATGAGGGTGTTTATGATATATATATATATTATTATATTTTGATCAAACGTCACAAATTTTCGGTGATGGGAAATAATTTTGAGAAGTTTTTTAAGGAATTTCAGGATACCATCTATTTAAACTAGCTGTCCACCTATTTAAATTAATTTATTCTATTACCATACACCATTTTAAGAAAATAAGGATTCAGGAATTTCAGATTCATTTGCATCAATGCATCCTACTAACCATGCTAACCATTCAGTTTTTAAAGCTTCTGTAGTTCCTACAATTTCAGATTATTTATCATTAGGTACTACAAAAGTGACAGCTGCATCATCTTTATCAGCTACATAATATTTAATATGAGCATTAGATGATATCAATTTTTCTTAATAATTTTCTTTATCACCAAAATTTTATACAAAAATTAAGTATTTACTAAGAACAAGGGCATTAATTTCAATGGCTTCAAAACTATATTCTTCATCTGAGGATTTACCAAACTTGGCTCCAGTACATTCATTATCTAAATATCCAACTAAACAATTTGAAGTAGATGTTGGATTAAAAGATAATTAAAGATCCAAATTAATATTAGGATTATGCCATTCTAATACTATTCTAACTTATCCAGATTTTAATTTCTTAGATAATGGTACAATAGTAACTTCATTATCTTAAAATTCATAACAATTCTAAGAATAATCTGGATGAGTAACAATTAAATTATATAATGAACCCTTAACTAATCTAGTAAATATAACTTTTCCATTTGAATCAGTCTTAGCAGTTCCATAAACTTAAAATGATCCACAACTACCTACTCTTAAATCAATTTTAACTGATTCTAAATGATTCCAATCCATAACATCAACAACATAAACCTCAGTTTAATAATAATTGATCTAAAAAATCTGAGAGAAATCTCCTAATTTACATTCTCCATTCAAAACTTTATAACCTTATTCACATACAGCACATTTGTTTTCTTTTGTACAAATAGCACAATTTAAAATTTTATTAGTGCATAATTTATATGCTTATTTACATTAACCATTATCAAAAGTAGAGAAAGCATCACAAAAATCTTAATCACATTTCTCCTTTTCTTTTGAGCATTTCAAACATTAATTTTGAGAATATGGTTTAGAACATCCATTTTCTGGTAAACAAGATTTATCAGGTTATAACTGATATTCTGCTTAACAACTTATACATTTATTATTTTTATCACAGAATTTACAAAATGGAACATTAGTGCATCCAGTTGGTTAACATTTTTTTCTAGCATCCAAATATTCCCCACTTTTACATCCACCTTCATTTTTTGCAGGTTCTTTAGGTTATTCTTTGGCAGGTTCTTTAGGTTATTCTTTTGCTGGTTCTTTGGGTTATTCTTTTGCAGGTTCTTTGGATGTTGAGGTACTAGTTGGAGTACTAGTTGTAGAAGTAGTACTAGTTGTAGTTGTAGTAGGTTTGGTTGGAGTTGTAGTTGTTGATGGTTTAGTAGAAGTAGTGGTTGTTTCAGCTTAATGTAAAGATGATTTTGGTTATGGTGTTGTAGCTTAAACTTTAGGTATTGTCACATTAGATCTTAATAATATAGTTCCAAAATTAATTTCTTCTTAGAATTAAACTACTTATGATTAAACATAATCATCATAACCGATGGCAGCAACAGTTATTAATCCAGTTGTTGGTTAAAAGAGTTGTGTACTATAATCAGCTACATCAAATGTTGATATCTATAATTTATATTCTCCTTTAGGAGTTGCTACATCACAAATTGGTTTTTCCAATCCCTCTTAACTCCAACAAATCTTAGCTTCTTATAATGGATATTGAGTAAATAATTTGTCTTCTTCTTTTTTTATTTCACCTACAACAAATCCACTTACTTTTGATTTCATTTCCTTAAATAATTAAACTTATATAGACTCATTTACTCCTAATTTTCCAGTAAATCTACAACCTCTTTCATCATCTTTATCAAAACCTGTTTTACAAGTGATACACTATTATTCTTTGCATTCTTAACAATTAGGAATATCACATTTAGGTTAAGATGATTATGCCTATGATTTTTAATCACTACCACCTTTATCTGAAGCAGCAGGACTTCCCTTACTAGGTTCTGCTGGTTTAGCATTATCTTCTGTTTTTTTGGTTGTATCAGTTGATTTAGTTGTAGTAGTATCAGCTGGTTTGGTTGTAGTTGTATCTGTTGGTTTAGTTGTAGTTGTGGTAGTAGTTGTAGTTGTTGGTTTAGTTGTAGCAGTATCAGCAAAATGAGAAAACATTGAATAATGATAAACCTTGTTGTTCTTTTCTTCAATAGGAATATCAACAACATTTTGATATAAATTAATGGTAAGATCTTTGGAACCAACTTAATAACAAATTTAAACATCATCCAAATATTATTAGACATATTCAAGTTTGCCAATTATAGCAAAGAAATCTAATTCATTACCATCATAATTAGGCCATAAGAATTTAGCAGCAGCCAATGTCTAATATGTAGTTGCTTCTTTTCTCTTAAATTATTAAACTCCTTTAACCCACAATCCAAATAAGATATCTAAATAATTATATTTGGATTATACTTGTCTCTTTTTTGCCTGTTTCTACCTTATTCAAAGGACAATTAGTTGTTGATTTACATTCACTACTCAATTCAATTCTATTACCCACTAATTAAGTTATTGATTGACACATCTTTGTTTATATCTTTGTAAATTCTTTAGCTTTCACAGCTTTTGCAGGTTGATCAAAATTAATTTCTTTTTTTAATGGAATTGGTGTATAATTATTTATTAATAAAAGAACTCCAAAAACTATTGTACCAATAAATAATAATAAAAATAATGTTTCTATATTTCTACCTAATGTTTTATCTGATCTTGTTCTTTTTGAAAGATGGAATTCAAATAAAATCAAAGCAAATAAAAATAATGGAGTTGCCAAAGATAGCATTATTAGAATTAATAAATCTTTTGTGTAAATATTACTAACTGTTTTACAACAATTTAGATTTAAACATCCTAATGGATGATCTGCAGGATCTGTTGTTACTACTTCCCATCTCTATACTTAGGCATCTCTATCACATGTTGTAGAATATATAGAGCATTCTTTTTCTCCATTAGGACAATTTTAAGTTTAAATATCTTTAATATATTTTGAGGCACAAGAATGTTAAGATAAATAAGATTCTGATAAATTATTCATTTATTATTAACAATTTGCAATATTACTATCTTATTATTCTTAATAGTCTCTTATGTATTGAGCTTAAAATCCTAAAAGTACTGGAATTATAAGGATTTGAAGAGCTGCCAATATCATAAGTAAACCTTTTATTTTCCAAGTGTTTGAAATAATAGCTAAGACAATTAATCCCAATATTATTAAATTTAAAATAGCACTGATAGAATAGATACCCATTCCTTTCAATAAGTATACAGATCCCCAACAAGTTAAGGATACAGCTATACAAAGGAGGTATATATTGAATCTACTTGTTATTGATGATATTGTCATTTGATAAAAGTTATGTATGGTGTATGTTAATCCAACAACAATTAATATTGAAAAAATCAATATAATTGGTTTCATAACAGATACAACTTTATCAAATTTCTGATAATCGTTTCCAATCTTTTCTGATTAATATAAACCTTAAACATAATCACTAGACAAGATTATCAAGATGAAAAAAACGAATTCTGCTATTGCCATAAGGATAGTCAAAAAGAATAACAATCTTTCATAATTAATTGTATTACCTCCCGTTAAAGTTATCTGTCAATTCTCCCCATTCGTCTTCTGTTGACTTAAGATAGTTCTATTACTAGTTATTCCAAACTAGTGTCCCGATACAAATCAAAACTATCAGCACATTTATGATAGCATAGCTTAAAGTAATGTAATTTAAAACAAATCCATTGATTACAAACAACATTACAGCATCTCCTAATGCCAACAATAATACAATAATTGAAACATATTATTGTATTGTTGTTAATGTCAACTTTTCACTACGATTGAATTCACTCTAAGAAATGAATTACCGACTTTCAAATTCCATTTTTATTTTTTTTATTTTTATTAATAACTGTATAGTATTTAAATCAAATTTTAGGTAACTTCAATTATGAATTAGTCATTTAAGGACGACTAGAACTGCTTCTTATTTCTGATGATTTATTAAAATTTTCAGAAGAAAGATTCATTCTCTATTAAGATCCTCGATTTCTATTTTGTGGTTAAGTAAATCCTAAAGATTGATAAAACTCTTTTGATTTCATATTTTATTTTAATTAACTTATTTCTGAAAGAATTGATTATTTCTTTTATGGTTTAGGTAATGATCTAATTAATAGTTTCTATTTTAAATTTGAATCTTTATTATTCTGATTCATACTAACTACTTACTCATTTGAATCTTAAACAATTTATTATTTAATTTAAGAATCTTAAAGTGATTATTCCTCTTGATTTAGTCTTTCAGTAGAACATTCAGATTATTAAGTTTTCAATAACTTTCTCAAATATTAAGCTCTAATATTATCCATCTATTCATTCTATTCTGTAATAAATTTAAAAAATTCGTTTTCAGCCATAATATTTTCATCTTTCTAATCTTCTTCATTTATTTTACTCACATTCTCATTATCATCCTCATCATCCTAAAATCCTTATACTCTAAGAATTGCTTTTAATCTTTCCTCAGTAACTATTCCTTCTTCATTATCCAAATCAGACATATGATAATTATTTACATCAATATCTAATTCTTACAATTTTTCTTTTAATGCCAACACTTCTTATTTTAAATATTGTCCAGGTTTACCTACTTCTCTACCATTAATCAATTCTAACCATGGACAATCTACTATGAATTTATCTTCATATTCTCTACTTTAAAATGGATTTCCTTAAAATTAGATTTCAATCAAATTTGACATTAATTTTAAAAAATCAAAACAGTTTTCTGCATATATCTAATTTGATTATACATATAAATTAGTTAAATATGGAAATTTAAATTCTAATACTCTTAAATCTTCAATTTGATTATAACTTAAATCTAAAATATTAAGATTTTCATTCTAATTTTCTATCTTCAAAACACTTATTTAATTATATGATAGATTTAATTCCTCTAATTCAGTTATAGTATCAATAAATTAAATATCATTAATTTAATTATTACTAGCATCAAGAATCTTTAATTTCTTTGTATTACTGAATGAACCTTTTAAAGTTGATATTTTATTTCTTCTGATATTCAATTCTTCTAACTTAAATATATCAATATATAATACTTAAACATTGAATACTAGAAAGTCTATTTTCTCTATTAAGTTTCCTCCTATATTCAAATATCTTAAGTCTTTTAGGTTATTTAAGAAATCAATCTATAATTAAAAAATATTTGCTACTTTATGTAATTTGTTATTTTCTAAATTCAAATGTTAAATTTATCGACTTCCCAAAATTAAACTTGTTATCCTATTATACGATATATCTAATTTTAATAATTTTGGTAATTGAATTTTTTGAACACCTTCTAATTCATTATTGGAAACCCCCAAATTCTCTAGAATGGCAGAATCTATATTATCAATCAAAGAATTAGAATATCAATACTCTTTTCAATAGATTATGATGCAATTCCAATGTCTATACTAATTTCATATGATCTTTTATGCATTAATTGATTTCAGTAATACCTCAATTAACAAATATTAAATTACCTAAAATATTTAATCTAAGAGTCTTTCCTCCATCTTCTAATTTTGCCATTACCAGTTCTATTGATATAGATTATTCTTCTGACATCAAAGTATTTAAATTAAAATTATATGAATAAATAACTTAATTCTAAAGTATTTATTTTGTTTATTTGTTATTAACTTAAAAAGTGTGTTTATTATACTCATTAATTTTATTGTTTGATAATCTCATAAAAATATTCTAATAGATAAAGAACAATTATTAATAAGTTTATTAATTTGTTTCTTAAATATATGAAACAACGATAGAAATCTCATACTTATCTATACAAACAAATTTGTAAACATTTGAATGTACCTTGTTCATCTGGATTACTAAATGGGATTTAAGAGACAGAAATAGTTTTAATTTTAGAATAAATTGGGTTATAAGGTAATAAAATGAAAAATTAATAGATATTGAACCTCTCTAATTATTGTTAACTTAATGTAAATTCAAAACAATCATACTTAAAAGTATGTAGAAGAACTTAAAGTTAAATAAATCTATGGCACATGATAATTATAAAAATGAATTGCTAGAGATCTTGAGAGTAATCGCCAAGTTATTTACTAAGAGTTTAGATGTGATAACATTTGTAATTCGAGATATAAGGATGAGTAGTGAACATATGCAAATAATTTCGTAAGGCATAGCAGTAGTTTAATCTTTAAAGGAATTAAGGATTATATAATGTTTGATGACCTCTAATCATTTCAGCATTCTTTAGCCATCTCTAATTTAGAATTCTTCTCTTCATATTGTAGATTTTTCTCATAATTATCTTACACATCAAATTGGAGTTATGTTAGGATAATTATTATAAGAACATGGTAAGAGAAGAGATAGTGTTGATTATTTGTATAGAACAAAAGGTGAAAGTCCAGAAGAAGACATATCTAAAATTGGAATAGGTGAATTAGATTTATCATACAATAAATTAAATGATTAATTTGTTAAAGATATTGTACCTTATTTAGAAAGAGATAGATGGATAAAATCTATAAATTTAAAATATAATGCTATTTAAAAAGAGGGATTTGAACTCTTAATACAATTACTAGATAAAAATACTACAATTATTAGTTTAGATACTCGAAGAAATTTAGGAACTACATAATAATTTTAGAAGGAAATTCTAAGAAAACTTATGAGAAATAAAAATACTAAGAATTATTTACAAGAATAAAGAATAGAAGAAGAAAATGAAAATATTTTAGTTAATGTTTCTGCCATTCCATAAAACCTTTTATCTGTAATATCTGATCAAGAAAGTCCAGTTATGTCATTTGGAGTTTTTGAACCAAATAATCAAACTAAATAAATGTCTATATCTGGAAGACAAGATCAATTAAAATTTAAATCTGGTTATAAGAATAATGATTCTGGATGTTTAGATTGTACTAGATTACAAATAAAAGTAAAAAAATAATAATAAATTATTTAATTACTTAAATAAGAAGTTTAATATCTTAGATTTCAACTATAAACTAAACAATAATAACCTTAATAGTAGTAATAATAATAATAATAATAATAATAACAATAGTAATAAACTATGAATTTCTTAAATTTATCAGATAATAACAATTAGCATCCACCACCACATGAAATAGAATAAGAAGATATGTTAAATAAAATAGAATATATGATGAATGAATTAACTAGAATGATGGATGGTTTAGATGCTTAAGGAAGTGTAACAAATAATTTGAATGCTCATCTTTCAAGTACACTTATTGGATAAGATTACACAAGAGTAATTTGTGAAAGAGATGATAGAGCTAATGATTTTATGAATATATTAGGAGAAAATAGTCAAAACAATTCATCAGAAGATGAATCTAAATCATAGTGATAATATTTTTGGGTTTTTGATAAAATTAATATATCATTATTAATCTACTAATTATTATTCTGATTGTTTTTCTTTAGGAAGGTTTGACATCTCTACTTCAGCTTCTCTAATTTCTTATGAATTAATCCATTCATCTACATTCTATTATCTTTATATTTGAGAATATTCATTATTATAACTGATAGCAAAGAATATCGCATATAACTTTTGTTATGAATCATATATATATATACCACTGCTGTTATAAACAATGCAAAAGATCCCTCAACTCTACTATGAGGTACAACATAAACGGTTTCAGATCCTATTGCTATCATCAATCCCAAATATGTCATAAAAATACAACCAGGTGCTGAAATAAACATGCAATATTGTGCACACGATACCATATATATAAATAATTTTGAAATTTTTATTACCTTTATATTAATAAATTATAATCAAAAACTTTTTAAGCAATTATTAGTTAAATAAGATATTATTTCACTTTTGTTATTGTCATTTATTACTCTTCATATTTTAATCTTATAAATTATAAAATGAATGAATTTCACACTTTTTTTAATAATATACTATGTATCATCATAAATCTATATATTCTTCTATTGATTTATTAATATAGTAAAATATATTGTATAACAAAAATAATAATTTGTTGAATCTATTGAGTATTAATTAAATTTTGATATATATAATATTTATAAGGTAAAAATGATTATCAATTTTTCAGCTTTTATACCACCAACTTTGCTGATTTTGGGGTGTTAGTAGTTGTTGGTTATTTTGTGACTCGAGATGAAGAAGTACTCGATATAGCGATCTAACTGCTTGGAACACTTGCATTATTATCAAAATCGTAACCATTAAATAAATCTAACAATTAACACTCTTAATACTTTAAATAGAATTCCTTCTTAACATAATTTATTGATCCTCATTCATTGTATCATCTGAGTCTCTTCTACTATCTGATGGAAGGTAATTATCTTCATTACCCTAATAATCATCCTTTAACTATATTTACATTAGGTATGAATGGTGCAATCATCTCTTTACTTATTAACTTCTCCCAACTGAAGTCTTTAAACCAAGGATGTTCTTTCACTTCATCTGGTCCATTGTTTCCCAATCTATTTTAAGGTTTTCTTTAAAGTAACTATCAATTTATCATTAATGACTCACTCTGTTAGTAAAATCTGCAGCCTCTAAACTCCATCCAGGAGGTACTTCTTATCTCTTTATAGCAGCCTATTTTGCTAACATTTACTCTCTTATTTCTTAACGACTTCTTCCCAAATATGGTCTTCTTCCCAACATACATTCGTATACTATGACTCCCAATGCAAAATAATCAACTGCTACTCCATGATTATGTCCTATAAAATAAGAAATTATGAATATGATACTGCACATTACTTCTGGAGCCATATATCCTGGAGTTCCACTAGTGTCTTGAGAATTTTCAGGTTTCCAAATTCTAGCAATACCAAGATCTGTTAATCTCAAGTATCCTAACTTAAGTATGACATTTAAATACCGTTACTATCAAATACTAAATTTTCTGGCTTTAAATCTCTATGTAATATCCCTTATTGATGTAAATATTCTAATGCCACTATTATACATGCACTGAAAAACTCTATATTATTTAGAATTTATGGGAATACTTGTTTGTTCTTCATTAAACTTTCTATGTCTTCCTATATGATATCTCAAATCTCCTCCTGAAAGTAAATCCATAACTAAATATAAATATTCTCTATCTTAAAAAGAATATTGCATGTTAATCAAGAAGCTTTTTTTAATTTCAATATTTACTTATGTTTTAAACCACAGAGCAATGCTTTTTCATTCATTACTGATTAAACTGATTTTTTGCTTATTATCCTATATAATTCATTATAGATTACTTAGGTTTAGACATCACTTTTAGGGCATAAAATTATTTATTCTTCTTTTGTCGAACTTTCCATACTTTACCAAAACCACCTCTTCCAATAGCATCAATAAATTGAAAATTTTAAACAGACATTACTACTTATTTATTCTAAATACCATTATTCTCCATTAGATCCTCTTTCTTTTCATTGATATTACAATTTCCCATTTTATATAAATATATATTAAATTCTTATTATAATTTTAACTATCTCTCTACACTTTTTTACAAAAAAAGAACTTACATTTGAAGTATCAAAACTTAAACATTCAATATTAAAAGTTATTAATATTTATAAATCATATGATTATAATGTATACTCACCAAAATTCTATAAATATTAAATATTTGTCTCTTATTGATTCCAAAATAAATGTATGCTATTTAAATATACATTTTTTAATTATAGTATATCCATTTATTCAATAATTTAGAATAATACTTAAAACAAGAAAATGACTCATTAATATTGTATTGGAATTATGATTTATATTAATAAATTTATTAACGAATATGCTCTACGATTCGACTTAACCATATGAAGGAATCAAAGGAGGAACTTCCTTCACTTATGATGATTACTTACCTAAAAAAAGAAACATGTCTACACTATCAACAACAACAAAAAAATAATAACAAAAGACTTAATCTTCAGTAGCTACTTCTAATAATGTTGAAGATAGATTGCTTGACTATGAAAAAAGAAGATTGATTAAAATTTAAAAAATGCAAATGGAAATCCTATCAAATAAGGAAAATCAATCAATTCATAAAAAGTTATAATAAAAATTTGCTTCTAATAAAATTGTATAGCCAAATGAATTCAAATCTACATAACAAAATAGTATTTTAAGTCAATGTATGAATAACTTTTTAAAGAAAAATCAAAAAGCCTAAGTTTACTTTTGATTTGATCAATATTATATATATATATAAATACATATTTAATAACACTTAACATTAAAAAAAGCTATTTAGTTTCTATAAATATATAAAATCAAAAAAGTCAATTGATAATTATAAATCAGAAAGAAATCATCTCAATTTAACATTCTAAGTATTAATAACATTGTTTAGTATAATAAATATATATAAAACGACTTATGCTTATTTTCAGCTAAAGAGAATGTTTTGATTAAATTAAATATTATAAATTTCAATCAGAGTTTAAGTCTCAATTAATCATCATTTTATAACGTGTTTTTAATAACTATAGCTTAAAAGCAAGATTTGAATTCTTTTTATAGACTATTGATGTTTTCTGACACTCAATTTCTGATTGCCAATAAACTGACAATATGGGGGGGTATGATTGATTATTAATTGATATGCTACGTAATTGTTCGTTTTGGATTTAATGATAAAAATACAAAACAAGTATAGCTACTCAGAAGAAGATCTCATTGGAGAAGGTGCTTATTCTAAAGTTTATAAAGGTTTATTCGATAAAACCAATGAATTTGTTGCTGTAAAAGGTATGAACTTAACATCAACTTAGTTATTGATTGGAGTAAAGTTAAGGATAAATATTATATCTCTGGATTTTAAAGAGAGGTTCGAATACTAAGAGATTTAGATCATGAAAATATTGTTAAAATAATTGACATGATTCATGATCCTTGTTTAAATAGAGAATATCTCATAATGGAATATTGTGATAGTTAAAATCTCACAAACTTCATTAATCAATCTGGAGGACTTCTTAACGAGAATGTCTCTAAAATAGTATTATAATAATTGTTGACTGCTCTAAACGAATTAATCAAAAAGGAGTATTTACACAGAGACATTAAGCCAGAGAATATCTTGATTCACAAAAGGACTTTGAAATTAGCAGATTTCGGATTCTCAGTTAAAGCAGATTATTCTGGCAATCAACTCTTCAGAGAAAATGTGGGCACTCCATTGTATATGGCTCCATAAATACTTGAAAATAAACACTATTCAGTTAAAAGTGACATTTGGTCAATAGGAGTCATGACATATTAAATGATATTTGGAGAATACCCTTGGGTAGCAGACGATCCAGCATAACTTTTAAAATCAATAAAATCTCAAAAATTATATTTTCCTTCACATATCTCAATCTCAGATGACTTCAAAGAATTCATTAAAAAATGCTTATAATATGAAGAAAAAGATCGATATAATTGGGATGATTTAATCGAACATAAAATATTTAAAAATAAATATGTTATTTAAAAGAATTACACTAAAATTGAACACCTTTAAGTATATAATTAATTAATTTTAAGGAATCAATTAACTAGATAAGATAATTGTAGAAAAAAAGAGGTACTCCTTTGGAATAATTATTTACTAATTTAGATATGGATGGTGATAAGAAGCTTACTTTCGAAGAGTTTCAAGTATTATTACTTTATGTTGACAATCGAATGGAGATCAATATACAAAAAGGAATCTTTTATAGATACAATGTTAGCAAAAATAACTTGCTTAATTTTAATGAATTTAGCAGGATATTTTGTTGAACTTTATAATTTATATTTGTAATATTTACTAAAATAAATTATCTCCTATTTTTTAAATTAAGATTCTAATCAAAAATATTAATATATTATCAAAATTTTTGATTTTTAAAGGATTGAAATTCAACTTAACTTAAAAATTATAAAACTTATATAATTAATGCAATTATATTTATTAATGAAATTCAAAAGAAATACTCTCAGAAATTATAATAATATAATTAATAAAATTTGTTTATTGCTTTCAATAAAAAAATTTTTATTAAATTCAATCATCATAAATTTATCAATTAATAATCTACTATGGGATAATATATTTTAAAATTGTAATCAATCTCAATATGTATGAGATAATTTGAAAAATTAGTTTATTAAATCTTTAATAATTATTGCAAAGGAAAGGTTAACAAATAATTTATTATTTCTAAGATTAGTTGATTATTTTATAATAAAGAATAATTATTTAAATGATTTATTTAAATAATCATGATGTAGTAAAGATATATAAACTTAAAGAGCAATATATAAAATATGATTATATGCAGAATTAAATATCTAGAAATAAAAACTATATATCTTGAATGTTTTTGATTAAATAGAAAATTTAACTTATATAATCAGGAGTAACTAGAATGAAACAGATAGATATTTAGTTAATCGCATTTAAAGTATCATAGTGAATAATGTAAGCATTGCAAAATTATGCTGATATTTATGATTTTTATTTTGATCTAATAAAAGTTACTGTATCTTTTGCATTCATGCTTATTTCTTTGATTATTAGGAGTGTTATAGATGAATTTAAGTGAGGTTTATTATTTATATTAATAATTTGTATTTTATATCGTATTTTAACTACTAATCAAATATTTAAATGGTTTGAATAAATTTAAATTTCAGTAAATAAAGTAAACAAATGCAGATTTTGGCTTAATAAATACTATATACTATTATGATTATTTATTATATATAATAAACGTGTTAATTAAATTATTATAAATGAATACTTTAGTTATAGTTTTTGTAATTCTTTTAGTTCATGGCCAAGAAATAGATTGGGGATTGAATATCGATTAAGATTAAAAACGAGATTATTTAATTGTCAATAGTAATGTTGAAATTAATTAGGTTGGATGTAATATTATAAAATTATATTAAGCAAATAATTAATAATAATAAGGTTAATATATAGAAGGTTAAGATTAAGGAACCATTAGTGAAGGGACTAAATAAAAAATTTAGGAAGAATTTCTATCATATGATCTAGATGATGGTATAAATTATAAGAAAAATATATAGATGGTATTTTAAAAATAGATGAATTAAAATAATCATTTAGAGGGGAGGCAGAACATTAAGTTAGAAAATTATTTGGATTTGGTGATAAAGACATGAATGGTTTTATCAATTTTGAAGAATTCTTTAAATTTAGAACCAGAGATTCTATGACAGATTTATGAAATTAATTAAGACATATTTAAATTATATTATTCATTTTGATCGCTTAAATTATGCATAAAGTAACATTTTTTAAGCTCTTTAAATCAATTACTTATGATATTGAATCAAATCATTAGTTGATAGTTTAGATATTGTTTTTTACTTTTATTTTGAATATGTTGATTCGATATGAAAAGTAACTTATTTTTTAAATGTAAGTGAACTATTAAGTGAAATAGGTGTTGTATCTGTTCGTTTTTCTTTGCTGTTAGGTCTGCTAGATGCTTTCTACTTAACAATTTTTTTATAAGGAGAGCATTCACAGGCTTAGATATGAGGTTATGAATAAACTCTTATTCTGATTTCTTCTTATTTTCGAGATAAAAATTCATTCAAGAGAGACTATATTAAATTATATGTTATAATTTACATTTATGTTCTTTGGATTTTAAATACTCTATTTAATTAGTTATTCTAATTGATAACGATCAGTTTAATGAAAACTCCGAATAGAAGACATATTAGTCAATCTTAAGGATATTCTTTCTGTTTTTGATGCTTATCGTTTTTGTTTATTCTGGACATGATTATGATTATGTAGAAATTAATTATCAATCAACATAAAATAATTATTCTTGCCTTTATTATGGATGAATATATATGATATTTTATTAAATATTTTTGTATTTTAAAGATAGAAATTCTTTATAACAATATAAAATTTAAAATCAACCTAAAAATGTTATAATCTTCATTAAAATTAAGTTTTTCTATTTAATCTTAAAGTTTAGATTTAATCCTTATTATTAGTAATTAGAGTTGCTTTATATTAATCTGTAATAAAACTTTAAGAAGGTCTTTTATTATTACATTTATATTCAAATTAATTAATAAAATGGCTGGAATAGAATAGGAAGGAATAATAATTGATGAAAATATATAAGGTATAAAAACATTAAATAATGTAGATTCAAGGATGAATTTTGCTGATGAAATTATTATTGATGATCAACATATTCTAACTATATCAGCAGAAAAAATGTTTGAGGAGCCCTAAAAACGTACACGAAAATCTAGATGGGGTGGAAGACCAGATAGAAAGTGTGCTAGACCTGAGTAAAAACACTTGCAATTCAATCCTTTAGAGGCCATGATGAATAGAAAATGCATCTTACCTGTAGGAGCACAAAGCTTAGCCCCTCCAGTACCTATTGGTATGGCTTTACCTTGGGGTATGTAACCGATGCCTGTAATGGCTTAGAATTATGGCTATAATTTTGTGCGAACAGATACTTCTGTATTGGGATTTGTTTAATAATTAGCATACTCGATGGGGTCCTGAATATGAAAAAACCTTTCAACCTCCTTCTTTAAATTGTATACCTCCTGATCTGAGTATTGATGACTTAGAATACATAATTAGATTGTATTGTCTTGATGATATCAATCAAAAACTACAATAACCTATTGACAGTAAAATGGATGATCCTGATTTAAGGTCTCCTTCTCCTGAACCAGTATATGATTAACATGGAAAGAGAGTTAACACAAGGGAAGTTAGAAGAAAAGAAAATTTTTAAAGAATTAAATGTTCTTTGACTGAAGAATGCATTAAAATTAATAAAAATTTTGTTCCTCCTCATGATTTTAAACCTTTAAAAAAATCATAAAAAATATATTTAACTGATACTCTTAATGCACCTGATACAAATTATATTGGTTTAATTTTAGGACCAGGAGGAAATACTTAAAAATTTTTAGAGGGAAAAACAGGTTGCAAAATATCAGTTAGAGGGAAAGGTAGTTCAAATACAAAGAAAGTAGATTGGGATATGGATGATAAATTACATGTTTTAATTTAAGCAGATAATGATGAATAACTTTAATAAGGTGTTATAGAGATTGAAAAAATATTATCAGGAAATTAAGAAGATGAATAAGCAAGAAATGCTAGATTATAAGGATAAGTTATAGCAACAG